CCACCTAGCGCTGAAGACTACTGCAGCGCTCCTCCTGAGTGCTGCGGCCGAAATCCTGAAGACTACCTAGTGCCTACTGAACTACCTACCCGTGAAGTGCATGGGAACTTCCTATGTACTACCGGGTGTGCCTCCTGAGCCTGCCGAAGGGAGGCAGGGGCTGCAGCTGCAGCTCCTGCTCAAACTCGTGAGGAACAGGCTATTTCTGGCCTGTTCCGCATCCCTGTTTACGTGCCTGAGTCTTAGGGGCAGGTGGAAACAATGAGGGCCTGAAAATGGCCCTCCGTTTCAGGCTGAAAACTCTGGGTCTGAAAAGACCCAGAAATAGGCTGAAACGGGGTAGGGCCTGCAGGCCCTCGTTTTTCAGCTTTCAGGCTGAAACGGGGTAGGGCCTGCAGGCCCTCGTTTTTCAGCTTTCAGGCTGAAACGAACGGGGCCTGTAAGCCCTAAGTTTTAGGCTTTTAGGCTGAATGTCCGGGACGGGCGCTGCAGGGCCCGTGTGGCTACGCAGTATGCCACACAGACCCATAAGGTCCTGTTCTTTATTTATAAAAAAAAAAAAAAAAAAAAGCAATGAAGTTGAATGAACCAAAAAAATGGCAAAAATGCAATATGACCCAACTCGGAAGCAACCTCAAATCGCAACAGGCAGCACACCGAGAACTCACAGAAAACATTCATAGAAACATCGAGATGGCAAATCAGCTCACAGCCTCACACTGAGGTGAAAAAAAGATTGCAAAGTTCAAAACATTTATTATTATACAACGTAACTTAATACAAGTATCGAGTTGCGAAGTACAACGGCCTTTGCCGCAGCCCAAAAAAACAGCATCAATCAGGACCTGGTAAACTGCACGCTCGCTCTCCCTCTCTCAGACTCTCCCTCGCTCTCTCTCCCTCACTGTCCCTCTCTCCCTCATCACTTCTGTCTCTCTGCCTCACTCGATCTCCTCTCAGTCCTTGATCCGCTCACACTGGCTCTCCGAATGAACTCGCAAGTATCTCTTCCTTCTATACTACAGCTATGGCCGCCGTCTTCCTCCCCATATGAGATCCCCTCAAGCCTAATCGGACGCAGTCCCCTAAAAGCACAGCAAATCAAATTCAAAGTGTACTACACAATGCAAGAGAGAATTGAGTGGTGTCTACGGTGCGAGTCAAGCGGCGGACCGTGCAATAAAGTTTGTGAAACGTCTCAGCTGAGATCCCCTCAGCAGCAAGTGTCCTGGTCCGAAAGCATGAACTCCGATTTCCAGCAAGGTAGAGCAAGGTGACTGACGTCAACAGATTTGGGCCTATGGGGCCCTTCTTGTTTGGGCCCAATCCCACTGGGTCCAAAAAGGTCCCAGTTGAGTCAAGACTGCTGGTTCCAATCAACAAGAGTTAACCCTAGCTATGGCGCCGCTCACCCTTCTTCTTCGTCAACGCCCGACTGTCCAACCCTTGGTCGCACAAGTGTCAAGCAGAGCTTCCGCAACACACGAATTGAAAAAGTGAAGCCGAGCGGCACCGTAGCAATCTATAAATAGCATCTTCGGTTGACGCCTTATGTCAGCTCCGAACCAGTACCGGTCTCTGCGGCTTGTCGGCTGCAATTTGCCAGTTCTGCCAACTCACCGGACTTTCCCAAGATGCTACTGTAAAATTGGACTTGGGAGGCTTTGAACGTTTTCTGTTGGGTAACGGCCTACCAGACCCTAATGGACCTAACTTCAACCACATGGGACCTTGGGACCAGGACTCCGCACACCGACACACAGTGAAATCCTTTCAAAAACGATCAAACTCGTAAAATACAATTCTCAGCGACGGTCCTTCGGGACATCCGTTAAAATTGGAACGATACAGAGAAGATTAGCATGGCCCCTGCGCAAGGATGACACGCATAAATCGAGAAATGGTCCAAAATTAAAAAAAAAAAAAA